AAGTTTTTTCTCATACATTATGGGAAACCCACCAAGTCACCATTTTCATGGAGCACACTTTGGTATCGATTTTCTATTCACCCTATAATGATTTTGAACAATTAAATATACGACATGAATCGCAATGCGGTGAAAAACGCATTGCCACATGGACTTACCAAATTCAGCGCATGGGTCCCACCTCAAATATAGTCCAAAGTTAGGAGGGAAATATGTTTTTACCAAAACCATTTCTAAAAAAACCAAGGATAATTTTGTCTTTTTGGTATGTTTGATCAACGGAATTAATAGTAAGGGAAATAATAATCCATGAGATTAGCATAGGATTTGTTATCTAACTGGATTAGTGTGATACATAATTTCCTCTTGTCCACACTTGTTTTGTAACAAATATAAAAATATATAATCTCAATTACATAACCTGTGTGAGAAAAAATTAATTCTAATTGTCCATGATTAGAAGGTGTCTCAAAATCAACCTTCTAACAACAATTAATGATTTTCTTCACAACAATTAACAATTAGCAATTAATGATTTAATTCCCTCCCTTTACTAGTACCCATAATATTATATGAAATTATTCTCTGTACATATCTTTTAAAAAAAAAAAAATCTCAATGTACGCATTTTGAGTTAAAAAAAATTAAACCCTAATTTTTTTATTGTTGTCAATTTGTTTGCTACACACTTTATACTCATCTATTGTTTGCAAAGCAATACTCTCATAACAACCATCATATTACTTTAGTGATGAAAATGTTAGTTTTTTCGTATATAACTTTTTTTTTCTTATCCCTTCATGGCTTTCAGTCAGACATCAACTGTCGAATTATTTCATTATATTTGGACATCAATTCCTGAAAGTTTTTTTAATTTTTCTTTTCAAAACAAATTTGTCAAACTAATCACTTTTATTCGGAAGTTAAGTTTCGAATTAAATGTATAATTTCGGAAAGCCCACCGAAATCCCCAAACCGAAAAACATAAAAATAAAAAATAAAAAAAAAGTGTGTGGAAAGGAGGGTTGAGTGGTGTGTGTACAATGATTATGAGTAAAGGGTATAATTGTAACTTTTAGTGTGTGGATTGAAAAATTTAATTAATAATCAAATTAATAAGTATGTGTACTGAGAAAAGATGTACACTAAGTTAATTCTGTATATGGAAATAGAATTTTCCAAAACGAAGGCTAAATCAGTTTGCCTTTCAATACTCTATTTTAAGTGAAATGTGGGGATAATTTTGTCTATATACCAATTTGATGGAATGATTACTGCTCAAAAAAAAAAAATGAGGTCTTTTTTTTATAAAATGAGTCAATTTTGAACGTGTTTTTAGCAAATCAAATACGAATTAAATTTTAATAATTTGCTTTTTTATAGTGTATATAAGTTTACAGGTTGAGTAATAAATTGTTAAAATTTGATTTAACAGTTGTTGAAAATCATTAACAGTTGTTGAAATTTGAGTAATTTCATTAATTGTTGAAAATTGTTAATTGTTGTGAAGAAAATCATTAATTGTTAATTAAATCATTAATTGTTGTTAGAAGGTTGATTTTGAGACACCTTCTAATCATGGACGATTCGAATTAATTTTCTCTCACACAGGTTAATGATTAATTAATGATTGGGAAAAGTTAGGGATCATGAAAATTTTTTCATGAAAATAATCATGAAAATTTTATAATCCTTGGATTACCTAGATTAGTGTGTGGTGCTTTATTCTAAGTGTAATTCAATGGTCACAAAACTTTCTTGATTATTTTCGTAAAAGGTTTTTCATGATACCTATCATTGGTGATAATGATTTTGTTGAAAATCAATTTAATTCTAACAATTAATGATTTAATTTCACAACAATTAATGATTTTTGTCTCTCAATTAATTAAGAATTACTTTCACAGGTTAATTCATAATTAGAATTAAATGATTTAACAATTAGGGCCTCGTTTGGGAAGCGACCCGTTTAGCCAAAAAGTCACTAAAGAAAACCAAAAAGCCAACAATTCATATCAAAAAGTCAAAGATTCTCTTTTTTCTCTACTTTTTGCACATCTTTTCGTAAAAAGTCAAAAATTTATCTCAAACATAATAATTTTTTTTAGCTCATATTTTAGCCAAATAATCGAAAAGTTACTAAATTAGCCTGTTCTCAAACGAGGTCTAGAATTAATTCACAAAATCATTAATTCACAACAATTAATTGTGAATTTTTGAAAAAATATTAAAAGTAAGTCATTTTTGGAAAAATAATGCAAAAATATTTTATTTGCTTTTTGGTCAACCAAACAACATAAAATGAATCAAAAATATTTTATGTTAAACCAAACGAAACCCAAATGTTAAATTATTTCGTTATAAATGTCATCATAATTCTAATTTTAAGTGTGAAATTAAATTTTAAGAGACGTGTTTAATTTTTTATAGTGATGACTTCCCATAAAAAATTAAAAAAATAAAAACATAGCAATGATGAATTTTTCATATTGATGACTTCCCAAATATAAAGTGTATAACGCTTATCATATTGATGAATTTTTTCATATTGATGAATTTTTTATAGTGATGACTTCCAAAAAAAAAAGTGTATAACGCTTATCATATTGAATTTTTCTCTTATAAATGTGACAGCCTCCGTTCCTCATTTGTTATTCTCTCTTTCTCCAAAAAAAAACCATGAATCGGCAAGAAATGCAAATTATAATTGAGAAGCAAGATGATAGAATACAGAAGCTGCAATCAACAGCTTTCCAACTAGCAAATTTTTACTTCATCTTTCAGGGAGTGATATCCACGGTGGTCTCAAATGCCTCATCCTCTGTCAAATGTCAAGATTGGTGGTTCCCCTTCATCCTCTCCTTCATCGCCTCTGCTCTCAACCTCTGCGCGTTGCTCATGATCGGAATCAAGTACAAAAGATCACTCAACCAACAAGATATAAATTGGCAACATTACCAAGAATACGAGCAGAGATTGGAACAAGCAAGAGGTCCAGAATAGGTTATAAACAACAACATTAACAATAGGATACTGGGGATCCATTTACTAAGAAACTACGATCGATTTATCTGTTCATGTACATGAGTTTTTTCGTTGGTTTTTCTTCATTAGCATTGTTTGGTTGCTGGTGGATTCGTTGTAAGGAAAGTGATCTCAAGATGCTAAGTGGTGATGATAAATGTGTCAAACTTTGTGACGCTGAAAAGTGCATAAGAATCTGCCCTGAATATTGATGCTGCTCATCATGTGATGGAGTTATTAATTTGCTTCCTTGAATAAAAATCTTATTGGTGTGACTGTCTCTAGCATTCAAATAATAGCACCTGAAACCAGACGTAACTTTGATGGAATAGATATATCTAACTCTTCTCAAGTTACCATTCGTGACTTCTTCACTGCAACTGGTAATTTGAGTTCCATTAAAATGAATTTAAATGGCATACAAATTTTTTCTGTACCTTGTCTTTGTGGGTTATTTTGACAGTTGATGTTGTTGTTGGCCAATCATTTAACTTTTGTTCCCTCATATATAATAAATAAAACAAATGAAAACAGGTGATGACTGTGTGGCTGTCAAATCTGGTTGCTCTAATATTAATATTACAGGAGTTAATTGTGAACCAGGCCATGGTATAAGGTAGTAGAAACTCTCTCTTTGTTTATTTATTTATATTTTTCACATTTTTTTGGGAACATATAAGAGTGTTTTTCATGAGTAAAAGCTGAATTGCTTCCCTGAATAAAAATCTTATTGGTGTGACTGTCTCTAGTATTCAAATAATAGCACCTGAAACCAGACGTAACTTTGATGGAATAGATATATCTAACTCTTCTCAAGTTACCATTCGTGACTTCTTCATTGCAACTGGTAATTTGAGTTCCATTAAAATGAATTTAAATGGCATACAAATTTTTTCTGTACCTTGTCTTTGTGGGTTATTTTGACAGTTGATGTTGTTGTTGGCCAATCATTTAACTTTTGTTCCCTCATATATAATAAGGCCAAGTTTGGCTACAAAGAAAAAAGTGCACTTATTTCATCTTTTTATCTTTTTTGGGTCCCATCAATCAACATCTCCTCTCTACTTTTTCTACACATAATACAAAAAAAGTAAAAAAGTACACTTATTTAGTCTTCCCAAGCTAGGCCTAAATAAAACAAATGAAAACAGGTGATGACTGTGTGGCTGTCAAATCTGGTTGCTCTAATATTAATATTACAGGAGTTAATTGTGAACCAGGCCATGGTATAAGGCAGTAGAAACTCTCTCTTTGTTTATTTATTTATATTTTTCACATTTTTTTGGGAACATATAAGAGTGTTTTTCATGAGTAAAAGCTGAATTTCAGAGCACAAGGCCTATTAGGCTATTATCTTGACAAAAGTGTCCTTCATGGTCTAAATATTCTCAGATCAAAAGAAAAAAAGAAATCTAATCATTCGAAACAAAATTTATAAAAATAAAATTTTGAAAAAGCATTTCTCTCTATTTGCAGTGTGGAGGCTTAGGAGAGCATGGATCTCAACTCAAATCGATTACATCTGTGAAACCGTAGAGCCTGCATAAAAATAAATAAATAAATTTAAAAATCACAAAATACCAAACAGGCCCCAAACAATGAGCAATATGAATTTCATATCTTTGTATCAAGTGCTAAGAAAATTACCATTGGTCGATCACAGCTACTCTTTGCCTGAAAATAAAATCATTAATTTTTTATTAAAACTTATGTATATATTTGTAAGTGTGCATGTGTAGTAAATATTTCAATGCATGAAGATTAATTATAACTTATTTTGTAATTGTTGGAGTCTAAGTGTGAGTCTGAGTCTGAGTCTGAGTCCGAGTTGTCATCTATGTAGCTTGATTTCCCCCACCAAGCTGAACCCTGATCATTGATATGTCCATTGCCATGGATATTGAGACCATCTACACTTGAGAAGTAAATCCAAGTGTTGCTTTAGCAATTTGACCACCCTTTTTTTTGGCCTGGTGCGATAAGAGTTCCTGAGATTTGCCATTAAAATGGCCAAATAAAGAAGTTTCACATATTTGCATATCACAAAATTAATGAACATTAATTTCCACACACAAAAAATGGGCAATGAACATTAACCTAATTTCTTACTTATTCTGTTGAGAAATTGTTTTTATGGATTGTAAATTGAATGAATGAACCATGTATATGATTCTCTCAAATACCGACACAAACACTCACTCACAAATAAATAGCCACACATTGCTTTATTTTTTATCACACCAAAAAATCAAAAAATCAAAAGTAAATAGCCACAAATTCTACCTGTATTTGGACATTTGGAGATTTGCAAGGACCCTCAAAAGCCAGAGGGTTTAGTAAGAATGTCTTGCCGCAGGGTACGTTTAGGGTTGGGGTGCCTCCACTAGCTCCACAAGTAGCTTTCCATGCTTTTACAAATGCCTATTTGAAATGCATATAGTTAATTTCATTTCTTTGTGAAATACAAACACTAAAAAGGATTAAAGAAAGAAAAATCGAGCAAAAAAACAAAAACAAAAGTGCACATTTATATAGAGAGAGGTGTAGGATTGAAGAACATACTTTGGTGTCATCCCTATGTCCATCTCCAGCGGCACCATATTGCATAACGTCAAATGTACTCGTTGGGAAGCTGTCTACTCCAAATGAAGCAATGCAAATTATCAAAAACAAGTTGAGTAGAGCCTGCATCGAGAAGAAGAACAGTTAAATTTCACATTCAAAAATAAATAAATAAAAATTATTCAATGCCCCTAATGAAATTGCTCCAACACCATCTATGAGACATTGAATAATTGCTTCCAACAAACTGATGTAAAGCTGGTGTTGGTGGAAATAATTACTAAAAGAAGGCAATAGATTTTTTCTCTTTTTTTTTTTTTTTTTTGGCTTGGCAAAAAAAAAAATGTTACAAGAGGAGGCAACACTAGTACTTTAAGTTGCTTAGGGATCAAAATGGTTGTTAGAAAAAGAAAAAGAAAAAGAAATTGTGATTCAGAATATGGGAATGGACATATATCTCACCATTCCATACATGCATACAACAATGATGCCCAAAAATAAATGTGTGAAATTGAAATTGTAATTGTAATGTGTAATAACCACTCTTCCATCATTTTTATACACAGTGATATCTGAAAGGGGTATAACATCCTATTCATTTAATTTTTGGACACAGTAACTTTATTGATCCAAATATAAAGTTTCTTCTTTAATTAACTGTATATTTTTTATTTCTTGGGAAAAAGAACTAAACGCTATATACTATGCTAAGAGAGGACTTGCTCAGTAACAACTGATGTGCAGCTTATTGGGCCCGTTTTGGGGCCCATTTTAATAATTCAAACCATTTTCTTTTTAGAAGATATCGAGTAGAACATACTTACAAAAAAAATAAGTTGATCAGATATTGATAAAATCAGATATCGGTAATCTTTTTATTAATCTCTAATTTCAATGAAATCGAATTAATTGCCTTCATTGATATATTGCTGCATTTAGATGAAAATGAACGAGTTCAAATATTTCTTATTTCTTATCGATTCCTATCAAAAAAGAACAATTTGAATAGAATGTCCCTTCCTTTCTTCCTTTCTTTTTTTTTTTTTTTTTTTGAAATATTTAAAAAAATAAATGGCAAATGCAAGTGTAATTTGATGAAAGGGCTACCAATATCCAATTAACTTTTTTTTTTTTTTCCAAGTATGTTCTATTTGCTATACTAAGTGAATTGTTCAGAATATTGAAATAGGACTCGAAATGAGCCCAATAAGTTATACAACAGTTGCTACTATGCGCTTTTGAAATGATATATTTGTTAACTTCGGTGTTGAAATCTCTTGGTACATTCATACTATAGATCTTGAGAAACTTCATTAATAATTTGGGAGGTTTGTCTTTACTCTTTTTGCATGTAATTGTGTATGAATTTAAATTGATTATTACATACATATGACGAAAATTGCGTTTATACTTTTTGTTTTTAAGTTAAGTTGGATAAAATATCTTTAAGATAAGTACTGGAAAAAAAAATAAGAAAAAAAAAAAAAAAAAAAAAAAAAAAAGGTGCTATTTTTGAAGTAAACTTCTTATGAAATTTGCACCCTTGGCCTCATTGGTGACACTTCTTGTTTTCTTTTTCTTTTTTTTAAATGAAAAAAAAAAATTAAATAAAATTTAACTTTACTAGTAAAAAATAAAATTTAACTTCTCTAGGTAAAGATCTTCCATTTTAGAATTTTAGGATAAAGATTCAAAAATACTAATCTCTTGTTTGAACTACGCTTTTGTTAGAAACAATCCCTGTGGATCAAAGATCACTCTTATGTTGTGTTTGGTGGGGGATTTGAGGAGGGATTTTGAAAGGGAAAGGGAAAAGGTGTGTAGAAAGAGAAAAGATGTGTGAAATTAGGTGAAATGTACGTATATTTTATTCACATTTCACCTAACTTTTCCTTTTCCCTTTTCAAATCCCTCCTCAAATCTTCCAACCAAACACAACGTTAGGGATCAATGTTAGGTTTGGTTGCCATGATTAATTTGAGAAAGATCATTTATTTTCCTTTTCTTAGGAATCAATGTTAGGTTTGGTTGCCATTGAATGATTAAACACAACTTGCACGAACAAGAACTATACACTAATTTGCGAAAAAGTAATGGCTTTGTTAAGCAATATATGATTCATTTGAATTAATACACCAAACTTGTAAAGAAATTGGAAGACAATCTTAATCATGGAGAGAAAAATAACCAAACCCTATAGACTGATACTGTGAATTTGTGACCAAACGTAAAATATCATATTATGAATGGTCATATGGTGTTTGAAATCTCCAATTTCAGTCGTGAAAACATCAAAAATCATAGGTAAAATTTTGGTGACGTGTAATGTATAGCAATATGAAACGCACAATATGTGTATCTTTACAAAATATTTTAAGCTGTTGATTTTCACATCATATTAAATCCAGTATTTAGATTTTTTAAATATTCACATTATGCATTATAATATTTACACAAGTTCACATCATTAAATTTATGGGCATTTTTCTCATCATGATCAAGTGAATATCCTCATTGTCTTTTATTTATGATTTTGTGAATGTTAACATGATAAAATTCGTGAACATTTTTTCATATAGCAAACGTCAACCTTCAAATTGTCAATGTAACCATTCATATTATGATTTAAATAGTTAAGTGAATATTCACATTGTTAAACATTCATATTGTGAAACTTATTTTTTTATTTTATTTTACATAATCACATATTCAAGTAAGATCCTATTTAACAGATCCCGTTAAATAGGTTTCAAAAATAAATACATATAACAAAAGTTATGCATTTTTCAAGTTTAATATACCCCAAAACAAAAAAGTCAAAAAAAATTGTCAAAAAAAAAAGTTCAAATTAGAGCACACCATAAGCCCATTTCAAGTTGCTAAGGGCTAAAAAATATCTATAAATGTAAAATTGTCCATAAAACAACTATGAAAATTAAGATTTGGTAAATCAAATTATAAAATAATAAGACTAATTAGAATACAAAAAACATTTTATGAACTAATTGAAATACAATTTCATGAAAAGGGAATTTCTATGATATCATAAATAAAAACATCTTCATGAGTGTTCTATTTTAAAATGAACAGTCCATATTAAATTACATCAACTAATACAAAAATTATATCATGATATTTATAATTAAAAAAAAATGATTATTATGTTAATAAGGCTACACTCACCATATTTTTACATGATATCTAATGTGTGACAAACACAATGATTATTGTAATGATACCATATAAGCATCAATCATATTCAACTATTAATAATAGGAGTAGATTATGCGTGCTAAATGAAAAACGATATAAAAATATGATAAAGATAGAATTAATTTTTTATGAATAATTTTAATGGTGTCAATTATCAAAATCTCTCAAAAAATTTATACAATACTACAATATAAAATCAAAATTCAGTGGGTTCAATTGCGCCCACTACCTCATCCTCATGCATAAAGCTCCGCCCATGTTCACCATTCATGCATATATGCATCCATGTCACCAAGTGAGCACCCCCTACGATGGCACTGCAAAACCATATTTCGAAACAGCAAGTATAATATAAGAAAAGAAACTCAATACACAATAAATTCTGAATCTCAAAGTATCAATGAAATACGAATGCGAAAATATCATGAAACAGTATGGGTGGCAGCCAAATCATCTTTCTTATCTCTCTTTTCTTTGGGAGGTGGAGTGTTGGTATCAATGCAATCTTCTATAGAGAACCTATTTTGATCTATTTGGTAGAGTGTGGTCCAATTCTCTAAACAGCTGCCACTAGGAAGAATCCTAGTGTGGCGATTATAGAAACAACAAAAAAATGGATGCAAAGCGAGAAAGATATAAGGTGGAGATGAAAAGCTAGAGAGAGAGAGAGAAAAACAAACATGACTATCAAACAAAGTTATCTAGGATGAATAGAACATACTATATGTAGACATATCAATCTGCTCGGGAAGCTCCTTTATATCCACCTCAAACCTCTCCTGAACCTGCGATCAACCCAATGCACGTGTAATCAAGCCATTTAGAAATTGAACATCATTACTCATGCAAAAAATAAACCATAAAAGCTCCTCACCTGATTGAGAACATCAGAATCTGATGCAGACGAAACAAATATGATTGCAAGCCCTTTCGTACCAAATCTACCAGCTCTACCCACCTGCAAAGAATTTGATAAGAAAGCTCAGGAATGATACAAGAAACGAGAAGCTGGCCTTGACATACAAGACAAGCTAAAAAACACTGCCTACCCTGTGCAGATAAGTATCTGCTGAATCTGGCATGTCATAGTTAATGACAATGTTAACACGTTCAATGTCGATTCCCCTACCAACCAGATCTGTTGCCACGAGTATCCTCTTGTGCCCCTCCTTGAAACCCTTGTAGCGTGTCAACCTACAAAAGTTAAAAGTGCATATATACATGAATATCCACATCAATGGAAAATATACAAGACAAGCTGCAGAGGAAAGTTTATAATTGGTAACTCTCTAGTAAGCTAAAACAATCTAAAAGAGAAATGAAGCGCAGCAACAAGATCCAATTAAAACTGGAACTCGACTTCCAAAAACCAAAAAAAAAGGAGTCAGTTCAAACAGCATTGTGCTCGAAATTGGATGACCAATTCTCCAAACCAAAGTGGTCTATTCGGATGATGGGTTAACAGTGAAACAAACCAAACCATAATTTATGACTGGAATTAACTGCTCCATGCCAAAAAAATGATAGCTGTCACAGCATAGCCAGTCTTAATGACAAGAGAATTAACAAGCATAATGTGGTACATGTAGATTCAGAACATGTCAGCAACTAAATGGCATATGTACTACTGAAAAAACAGCCATAAGTAAATGTGCATTTTCTAGAGGAATGTAAACATTTTTGCTATAATACAAACCTTTCTTCCTGGGACATACCAGAATGGATGCAGATTGATGGAAAATTACACTCCACCAGCAATTTGTTCAGCTCAGCAGCTCTGCTCACACTTTTGACGAATATAACAACATGATTGAAGTCCAGTGCATCAAGAAGGTCATTCAGCTTGCGGTTTTTCTCCAGCTCACTCAATTTGATATAGTGCTGACACAAGGAAAAAATGGAGAGGTAAGACAATGGTTAAAAATAAGGTAAAGACCAAAAACCAAACTTCCAAAGCAATACCTGTACAAGACCATGAAGGGTCAATTTCGCCTCGTCATCAACATAAATTTCCATTGGCTGAAAGGAAAAAATGTCACAGTAAAGCATATTAGGAGCCTTCCTGAAGGCAATGGAATCCAGCACGAAATGAATGATGGATGAACATCCCTTTAATCAAGATTCCGGTCCATCTGATTTGTCTCCTTGCAGATATTCTAAGTCACAAGAAGCAAGTCCACTGTTGCTCAACATATACACTATTATGTAACCAAAAAGAGCCACAGGTAAGACATCCGCCATCAACCCCCTTAAAAACCCACACTCAAGGCCTAAAGTAAACAAGAAAATAACTAGGGATGTGAACAAAAGAAAAAATAAGGTACTGAAGAATGAAGAGACTAACCCCACACATCAGACCTAAAGACCGATCTTTCTTCTGCCACTACCCCTCCCCTATCACATTACATGCCTAGGTAGAATATTGAATAATAGGCATAAACAAAATGCAAAACTGAAAGCATAGAAGGCAGCAAGCCTGCAACCACTGCATTCCTAACTATTTATCGCCAGCAGAAAGCTGACATTTATGGAAAAGGATTCTTCTAAATTCAAGTAGAACTGGTCATGGGACATTACATCTTGCATAAATTTCTTGCAAACAGGACGGATTTCCTTGCTGAGTGTTGCAGAAAACATCATAACTTGTTTGTCATGAGGAGTCATCTTGAATATCTCCTGCACATCTCTCCTCATGTCTGCAGTACATATGAAGCAGAGAAATTACAAGGTAAGAAAACTTCATCATCAGTCTTGTGAAAAATAATGTCAATTGCAGCTGCAGGTAGTTGTACTCGTTTGCATAGAAAACTTTGGTAGAGAGGAGTCATTAAAATCCAACATTCAAACAAGGGGAAAAAAATAAATTAAATAATAATAATAATAATAATAACTGGATAAAGGATGATTATCACAGCCTAGAAAAATTCGGCCCCAAAGTTTAATCTTCAAGATTGCTATTGAGAGGGAAGCTGCATCCTTTTGTGGAAATATGCAAGGCACACCAAATTAAATGTTATCGATATCACAAACACAAATGGTTACACAGATTTACTTTAGGAATTCAGGGAATGTATGGAAGACTGAAGATGATGAAATAAGATATGACCTAAAGCATGGTATGAGCTCAGATTCCAATTTGTATCTAAATATAATTAAAAAGCATAAAAAATTGACCCACAAAGAGAGAGAGAGAGAGAGAGAGAATGACATAGAACAAGGGCAGCAACTTGACCTGCAACAGGCTCAATTTGCTGCAATGTTGACAGAACAAAAACAGCAGTTTTCCCCATCCCAGATTTCGCTTGACATATGACATCCATACCCAATATTGCTTGAGGGATACACTCATGTTGCACTGATGAAGAGCCAAAGAAAATCGGAGGGAAGGAACCCTCAGTTTTAATTGAAAGCTTTACCAAACCATTTTACTTCTTCAAAATCAAGAGTATGATAATAGTTATTTACCTGAGAAATGTAAAACCAAAATTGTTGAGGTTGCAAGAAGCTAATCGTCAAAAAATAAAAAATAAATATTGGAAGATGAAAGAAAGGAGACAAAAAATAGGCAGCTACCCAGAACATGATTTTAAGACAATATTAAGTATAATGTGTCAACATATTCAATACCAGCAAATAACAACAATAATAATCACTATCTATTTAAAAATAAGCCATAATATCTAAAACTTACCAAAGTGAAACTAAGTAATAGGAGATCCACGACAACCACAACCAGAAAGTACAAAGCTTATGCGTTTCAATTACAGATGCTCATCTTTCTTTAATCTAAATTCTACAAAAGCCTAAGAAGACAGCTAGACATCAACAGATGGATGAACATAACATTATGAACAAAACTGAAAGAAAAACAAAATAAATAGTTATTCTAAGCCATAAAAAATCCATTTGAATAAATATCTTGCCTTCAGATGGATGCTCAAATCCAGAGTCCACAATAGCCCACAGAAGCTCTGGCTTCAAAAGAAAATCTCTGAATCCGGAGCTGTGAATTCCGACATAGCCCCTACAAAAAATAAATAAATAGGAGAATGAATCAGAAATTTAGAATATATGATAACATTTATCCAGACTGAAACATCACACAATAAGATTTATAAAGATTGGAACATCACTGGAGAAAGGCGCAGACTTGACAATTTATACCAGAGCAGAAGCATCTACAAAAATACGACTTAGAAGAAAAATGCAATTTTCTTGTAAAACACATCACTTGATAATAAAATCAGTGGAGAGACCTGAAGTGTCAAGTGAAAGCAGAATATCACAGACCCAGCACCTCACCTCCACCCGCTCCCAACACAAGGAAGAAGGAAACAGAAAAAATACGAACTTTGACGTATTATAAATTGTAATGACAAGCCTTTATTATTTCAGAAGATCATAAAAAACAAAGTAACTAAATGTGTAACAAAAATGCAAACAGTCGGCAACAAATTGCTGTACAACTCTTACTTTGGCATATTCTACAACAGAACACCATACTTAACTATTTCCAAATTGATAAACATGAAAAAGAATTTAAAGACCTTATAAATCTCACCAAGAAATATATTTGGTCAAAACATACTCAATTTATGATACCAAGTTTAATATTTTTGTGATAACCCGAAAAAGATCCAAGGAATAATTACAGCCTAGTTTACATCTCCAAGTGAAAATTCCTGGAAATAACCAAATAGAAACAAAGCCAAAAAGCATAGTTTAAATCCCAGTTTCAGTATCAAAGATCGAAACTTCCATGTAAACACACGTCCACTAGCAATAAATCAACAACACAAAAACACACGTACATATACATATATATAGTTGGAAAGTGAGCTAAGAATTGAAATTTTGAACTGACTTCTTGGCGGATTCACCGTTGACTTTGGCGGCAACAGAGTCGGGGACTTTCTCGTCTTCTTCGTAGTCGAGAAGCTCTTCCTCGTAAGCATCGTTGTCCTTTGTTTCGCCCCTTCTAAAATCATATAAGAAAAATTTAAGAGTTGCGTTAGGGTTACGAATTCAAACTAGAAAGAGACTTTGAGATTTTGATGGTTCACCTTCGAATCTGTAACAAGGTTGGGTGGGGTTAGGGTTTGAAAAATCTGCAGAGAAAAATTGTTAGGAAAATATATGAATGAAGAGAGAAACCTCAGGCAGTGAGAGAATGATAGGGTTTCGTTTTTGCCTCGAGTGGTCGATTATTATATAAAATTATTTGTGCCCACATTTATTAAAAACAAAAATGATTTATTTATCTTGCGATCGCTTGGACGATCATTCGGATAATCGATGCAATCTTCGTGTAATTGTCATTTTCATTGATTGTAGCTGTTACTCTGATTGTCGGATGACGGGCAAGACGGTTTATATCAAATGATTGATTAAATTATCGACATATATAAATTTAACAATTTAAACAAGTCAAGATTTGGAAATATAATATTATTTTATAAAAAAAATTGTTACAATTTTACCGTTGCGGTCAAAATTTATATTTTTAAAAAAAATGTATCATTTTATATTTTAGTAAATTACATTGATTTTTTTTTTTTAAGGTATGCCAATCATTAAAGTAATTACTCATTGTTTTTAAAAATTCATCAAATAGTATATGTACTCACGTGGCCTTAAAAATTAATGACAAATTGAGAAAATAAAATAGTATATTGACATTGTTTTACGAATCTTGATACATGTTTATTGCTTAACTGAGACTTATGAGTTATCAATTTTTGTTTTACTTCTCCTAAATGTAGAGCTAAGATCTTTGTTAAGCAATTTTTCTTTTAATCCATTGTTTCTGTAAGTCTATCGCCACATGATGTGAGATGAGAATCTCAAAATAAATAAATTGCACATTAAGACCAAATAAATAAATAAATAAATTCAAAAGAGAGGATCTGACGCCTCCCAAATGCAATGGGATGCACCTAGTTAGTCTTGTTCCTCCCAAGCATCAAAAGATCACTTATCTCTCTGATAAATATACATTTACTTGGAATTTTTACAATTTCAAATTCATATTATTCTTTACATACTAATTTCTGGAAACAATATCATTTTATTCAACCACTCATATGCTGATCATATTGAATGAGTGTTCTAGTGATTGCAAGAGGCTAAGCAGTCACCAATGGCCATCTGAGTGATTTCTAAAAGCTGTGTATGAAATCATTCAATTGCTTCTGAAGCAAATGGGTTGCCACATATTCAAGATGAAACACATACTGTATAAAACATGGGTCTTCCCTTAAACCGGTGCCACTCAACCGAGGTTTCCAACAGCTACTAGCAACCATCTCAACAGCAATATAAAATCCAAATCTAAATTATTTGACAAAAAATACTTCAAAGGTGAAAGATGTCCTGTGCATACTTCATGTGAAATCTTCCGGACAATCATCCTTTCAACTTATTTATGCTACTTTTTACTCCTAATAGCTATAATAATTAGCAAATACTCTCACAAATATTCCCAAAATGAAATATAAAAACAAAAGTATAAGTAGCCCCTAATAAGTTGCAGCAACGGAGTAAATATGCACGCATTCAGAGGGGTACGCACACCACAAGCCAAGAGCTTTTCCTATCACATATTTTAGCAAATCTGGAGCCAAGCATCATAAGAGAATTCCAAAAAAAAATGCCCACAGTAACAACACCCCCTGGACTTTGTCATAATTTAACATTAATTTCACAGTCAACCCAAAAATCATTCAAAATATTATTTGTCACAAAACAAACCAAACCAGACCAAGTGAAGCTTGACCGCCAAAAAAGGGAGCACAAAGGAGTAACATTGTAGTCATATAGAAAGCAGCAGCTTCTATTGAAAAGCTTTCAGAAAGAAAAAAAAAAAAAAATTAATAAAAAATCTACAAAAGAAGTTATACAGAGGTCCACAGAGTCTTGGTTTGAACATGGGGATCTAATACACCACTGAATGAGACTCCCCCAAATTACTTAGCTGCTTGCTCTATAACAACACTTTTTTTCCATGCTGCATCTGACTCATTAATTTTCAGTGGAGGCAATGAAAACATGCTTACTGTTGAACTTTCACTTCGAATCTTATTCAAGACCTCCAACGCTTTTAAGGTTTGCGTCATGTACATACTCTGTATGTTTTTAATTTCTGCAAGTTCTTCAGGAACTTCCTCGAGCCTGCCTTCACTTGTGGGAATAGTCGGGGTGTTGAGCTCTTCTTTCCCTTTAGCGGCTTGATATGATGCAGCCAATTGCTCATTCATTGAGAAAAATGGATCAAGCATTCTCTCACACTCCTTCACAAGCTTGTTAAGAATGTCAGTTGTGAAGCATGGTTCATGCAAAACCTTTTGGATGAAAGGCAATCGAATTAGGGCACCACTTCGCTTGTCATATTTCTTCAGTATCTTCACCAGTCCTGTGAGGAGCAAAGTTGAGTTAAAAACAATCATTTCCAGCTTTCAATAAAAAGAAGACATCAACATTAGCATAGCAAAATCTTTTATCAACTTAAAACCATACTCAAACCTTGATTTTACCTTGTCAATAAATAATAAACCTACAAGAATAAAGCCCTAGCCCACCACAACCTTAATTCCAATTCCCTGACTTAAGGCAAAGCCCTACATCAAATCCTTTTTGAAATCTCTAATCCAATCACTACTTCCTTTCAACACCATTTTTTGCTATGTTTTCTTCTTAAGAAGTCATGAGAGATAATGCCTTCATAATGGATACCTACCAATAGATAAACATGCATAGGCATATGCAGAGCATATTCCATCATATAGAAAAGTTCATCTTCATATTTCAAACAGAATTTGACAGTAGATTGCTTGCATTTCATATTTCAACAAACTTGATGATCTTAAAGAAACCATATGGGCAGCCAAATTTTGTGTTTTCTTACTTTCACATCAAATACAAGTAAGTTTCCCATTACATACATATCCCTCGATGAAAATAACCTAACTAAATTGTGGAAGAAAGTGAACAAGATCACCCCTGAACAAATCTCCTCATTTTTGCAACCCTCAAGTGAACAAAAGCTTTGTCCCAATTAATCTAAAGCTATGTTTGGTTGGGGGATTTTGGGAAGAGATTTGGAAAGAAAAAATAAAAAAGTGTGTGAAATTATATGAAATGTAAGTACATTTTATTCACATTTCACCTATATTTTTCCTTTTCCTTTCCCTTTCCAAATCCCCTAACCAAACACAGCCTAAGGAAATATCTTATCAAACTTCAACTCAATGTTAAGAAGTGATCTGGTACTAACATAGTACCTAAACAATGAGTGGGAGGCAGTAAACAAAATTTCATAACAGGTGCAATTTCAAAGAAGTTCAATACGGGCCATTCACACAGAGGACAATTCTGGGTTCATCCACTAGATCATTTGATGCTAGATTATCCACCACTTTATACAAGTTATTACAACTTTTAAGGTAAGAGGGAAAAAGTACCTGTATAGTTAAGGGCACTGTAATTAAACAATAGAACCATCTCTCCATGAAAATCTACAATCTCCCTCCCTACAGTCATCAACTCTTCATTTGAATCCTGAACCTCTGCTACCCTATCTTGCAAAACCTGTACTCCAATCAAAACAAAAGTGAAAAGAAAAGAATTGTTTCAATACATCATCACTGTGCAAATCTGCTCCCTTCTCACCAGAAGGTATGCTACATGGCATCAAATATTTTCCATATAAACATGCTAAAAAACAACAAAAGGAAAAAATAAACAAATCAATACATAGATAAGGGCATGCTGCTCATTGAAGCTTGCTAAACAACAAAATATAGGCAAGGAGCACGTCCTGGTGTTAAACTTAATATAATACTTGATAACCAAACCAAATATAATACTTAATATAACATTCGATGAGCGCAAACCTACTTGAATTATGACTTTTTAAAAAGAAAATTAAAGAAATGAAAATGCACAATTGAAGCAAAGTTATCAAATTATAACATTTTGATACTGTAGCATACTCAAATTATTATTATTTTCACACTAACTATTGGAAAATGCTCTAACATTTCCCTACGCTATTTTCGTGCATATGATTAGATGCATGTATGTATACATATGAAATTCAATACATATATATACACAAATTTAATATGTATGTATGTATGTTTGTATGTATGTGTGTGTATTGAGAATTAGATTAATTAGATCAAAATTCAACTCAAATAATTCAACGAAGAAAAAAACAAATCAATAATAAGTTTCCACTTGAATCAGAAATTAGATTAATCAAATTACAAATAAAAAAATGGATAAATACCTTTAATCTGATGATGTACTCTTCCTCTTTATCAACGAAGAAACCATTGAACTTGTCAATCTCATCCTCCAACAGCCTCACAAAATCGATCACCTCCTTCGTCACAACCTCCTCCTCCTCCGCTCCGCCGTCGTCGGTCAATTTGCGGCGTTTAACGACGCTACTAGTAGTACAACTAGTCTCGCCATCTTTGGGGTAGATCAGACGCAACTGCTTCTTGAGATCCTTGTAGGTCAAGAACTTGTCTCGCCATTCAGGAAAGGTTTGATCGATTAGTTCGCAGAGATGCTTCCAGAATTTCATGTTCGTCGCGTTTGGATTCCAAAACTCGGTCTTTTCGTGCGTGGTGTCGCAGAGATGAACATATACAGATAGATTTCGTGTATTGTATTGTATGTATAGGACAAGGGTTGTTTAGAAGAGAGAGAGAGAGAGAGAGAGAGCGAGAGGTGAGAACGAGAGCGAGAGAGAGAATGATTGAGAGATATGATGCGGAGGAACAGAACCTTAGAATATGCGAGGAACAGAATAAAGAATATCCTATTTCTATCTTGTCAAAGGCAAAATGGATATATCATCGTCTTCGGTTATATGCTCTTCGTTTTGACCGTTAGATTTTGTTGGATTTGGATTTGGATTTGGATATGGATTGGATTGGCGTCAAGTCAAGCATGTTTGGTAAATTTTCAATGATCTTAAATTTTTTTTTTTTTAAACATGAATTACACTATGTATTTTAAAAATAAAAATGTTTGAGTACTACAATTTTTGTGGTCATAATGGCTCAAAATTACCAAAACGACGTCGTTTTGGGTGTAAAACATGTCAAAACGACGTCGTTTTGACAGTTTTGAGCCATTGTAGCCACAAAAATTGTGGCCCTCTAGCATTGTTGTTTTAAAAAACCGGCTGTGATTGAGGCCTCGAAAATGAGGCTCGAAATTGCCTCGAATGCATTTTTTTTTTTATTTATTTATTCTGGGCTAATACATTCCAGAAAAAAATAAATAAAAATAATAATAATAATAACAAGCAAAGCATCAACCCAGGAAAAAAAAAAAATTCGAGCCAAATTTGAGCCAAAAAATTTGAGACCTCAATCATTAATCTTAAAAAACAATAGTGACAAAGGCCTCGAATTCGAGGCCTCGAATTCGAGGCCTCGAATCTGGCTCGACTGCTGTTTTTTTTTTGTTTTTGGGCTGCTTTGTTAGTTTTTTTTTTTTTTTTTTTGTAAGTCTAACATAAAATATTATACATTTTCCACCAACTCATCATATAAAATTATATAAAATTAACAAAATTTAAGCAACAGTTTAATTAATCAGTCAATTTTATCACTTAATCAATCCAACTTAATTGGCTAATCAGTTAGACTGTTGGTTAAAATTCGTTAATTCTATATAATTTTGTACGATGAGTTAGAATAGGTTGTCTAGTTTTTTGGCACACCCCTATATATAACCACTTTTAAAAAAATAAATAAATAAATAAAAAACCAACACAACCTAACAAATAAAATTAAATTAAATTAAAAAAAAATTAATCAGTCAATTTTATTACCCAATCAATCCAACCCAACTCACTTACAAAATGTCTAATTTTTTAGTACACCCTTATACATAATCACCCCTATAAAGAAAAGAGAGAAAAAAAAAATTAAAAAAAAAAACAAACTAAAACAGCTTTGGAAGAAAAGAAAAGAAAAAAAAAATGATTTCGAGGCAAATTCGAGTCTCAAATTCGAGGCCTGAATCATTTTTGTAGTTTTCTAAAAAACAGATATAGATGTAACAATACAGAGACATACAATCTCTACTACTACTATATTCATGGTTTTGGTGATTTGAATTGTTTTATGTAAATGAGGCATGCTGTGATTGTAGTATGTGGATGAGGCATGCAATGATTGTGATATTCTAAAGTTTCAAACTTTCTTGCTTTGGATGAGGCATGTAGTGATTGTAATATTTTTTTAAGTCATTAACTGTAATACTTTCTTCTCTTTTTCTTTTTTTTTTAAGGAAGTGCACAAGTTGAATTATGTTGAATATTTATAAAATTTTAAACTGCCAAACCGATTCGTATCTATCCGCCAAACTGCTCAATCCACATCCGCCGGATTGGCGAACTGATGCGGATTGATTTTCTCCAATCCGCCAATCTGGCAGACGGATGGCGGATTGAAGATTCTGTGGCCGCAACCGACCCGCACCCACCCCTAATTTTAGTCACATTATTTCTTTATTTTCTTGCATTTCTTTTCGTAATAAACAAAAAAAAAGCATCTTATATGTTGCGGAACTTTTTTCATAAATCACGTTTCTAACACTTTTATACCATAAAACTTAAATTATTTTTTATTATCACATTAGGCCCCATTCAGTGTAGTAAGACTAACGTACTCTCTCTCTTCATTCTAAAAACAAAACCATTCATATCCCTCACATTATCACTCAAAAAAAATGTATCAACTACGCACCACTATTTAATGTTCCCATATCTTTACTTTAAAAAAATGCATTAATTACACACTATTATTTAATGTTGATATATATTGTACACACAAAATAAAACATGATTTTTTATTAATTGTCATTATGTTTTGGCAATTTTCATACATTCAAATGTTGACTGTACGTGATGACGTGAATGTGAATGTTCACATCAGATGACGTGAATATTCACATCAGATGATGTTGTGATAAATGTGATGTAAAGGTTCACATCAGCATTACATCAAATTACACAATTACAAGCCTCAACTTTTATTTAAATATAAACATGACGTGAATGTTCACACTAAAACATATGATATTAACATTCACGTCATCTGATATTAACAGTATAAACATTAACATTTGTATTCATATTCATATTTTAGTGTGAACCTTCACGTCATCTGATGTGAACATTCATATTCACGCCATCTAATGTGAATATTCATGTCATCACGTACAGTCAACATTTGAATGCATGAGAACTATCAAAACATAATGACAATTAATAAAAAACCATATTTAATTTTTTATATGTAATGTATATCAACATTAAATAGTGGTGTGTAGTTAATGCATATCAACATTAAATATAAGGGTATAAGAGTCTAAGAAAATAATGTAAATCAAGAAAAATGACCTTATGGAATAAAGGTATAAATACATGGGACTAAATGGGTTATAAATAACCTTTATGAACTTCCTAAGTTAGAACACTCCTAAATAAAATTTATCAATAAAAATCCCTATATGGTATACCTAAAACAACCCTTATGACATACAAATTGATGAATTAGTTCTTCGCTAAAAAATAAAAATCCAAGTTTTTAATGGAAAAGTTAATTGTTTTGAAAGATGGATTTTTAGTTAAAAAAATTAAAAATCACTACCAATATCACATTATTTTTTCTATTTTTCTGCGTATCTTTTTATAAAAAATTAAAAAATCAACTAAAATAATTAATTCTCAAACCCTTAATCAACAAGCAAATGTCTATTTGGGAAGAACTAAAAAGGCATTAAAAATAATAATTAAAATAATTATCCCAGTAACAAAAAATATATATATAATTTTAACAATTATTAAAAAAAATTAAATTTTAGAATCGGAAAAACTTAATTAAGAAATTAGAAAAAGTCGATCCCAAACTGTCTAATAAATCGAGTAATAGAAGTGGGCTTTACCATTTCAGCAGTTGATATGTATATATGAGGAGGGTGATTCTATTTGTGCCTAAAAAATAATTTAGTACGTCTAATTAAAATTTTAAAATTTTAATTTCTATTATATTTTATTATAAAATTTATTAATAAGGACAATATATATTAAATTTTAAATTTTTTTTTATGATACACCCTAATTATTTATACATATTCTTAATATTCAAATTTTCTAGATTCATTCCAAAGTTTCAATTATTTTTTCTTCTTCTCCTTACTCTAAAACTCCAATCCACTTATCAAAAGTCACCATTATTATCAACATTATTGATACCGTTCGTCCCAGTGGATGGATCAGACTGGTCCAAGCTCCCTAAGGCTAAGCCCAGAAGATCGAGCCCACCGGATATCCTGCAAACAAGTTCAACGGGGAACGGGATAGTCCCCCAACGAACTCGCCGACGAACAAGTTAGGAAGAGAAGCAGAGTATATGGGAGAGGATTTGAGATACAGAACTTAACCTTTTTCCTTGTCTACCACGTTCGCTTATATCCTTTGGCAATCATTTCGCTATCCCTTCCGACCTGCTCTCCTTGCCGAAAGCCTATGCTGTAGCTCACCTTGCTCAGGGTAAGGGGGTCCTGTTCCGGCGGAGAGGTGTTGTCGTAATAAATGCTGTGATGGGCTGCATTAATGGTGATGTGCAGTGTCAATAACCTTGCAGATCTTTGTCTGCTGATGTGGTTCATCATTCTCTTGCCGTGTGTCTGAATGTCATTGGCTCTTTGTGTCATGTTGGACTCCAGCTGTCCTAGACCTCGTCAATTGGGTTATGCACTGTGCTTCAAGTGATGGGCCGTGGGTGGTTCATGGCCTTTATGGGCTTCTACACATCAGTAGTCCCCCAATCCCGAGTGCAGCTTTAGTCCAATGAAGGGATTATGAGTGACATAGATGAGTGTCTTAGGGATTGGCAGGATAGAGGTCGACCGGGAAGAAGGGGGGACTGACCGCGATGAGGGCCGACCGCGATGTAGACCGACTGGGAGGCCGACCGCGAGGAGGGCCGACCGGAGGGCTGACCGAGGGGAAGGCCGACCGCGATGTGGACCAACTGGGAGGCCGACCGCGAGGAGGGCCGACCGCGAGGGCTAACCGAGGGGAGGGCCGACCGCGGTGTTGGCTGAGAGGGAAGGCTGACCGCAGGGAGGGCCGACCGTGGGGAGGGTGAGGTGAAGGGGCGTGGGGCTCAAGACGCCGCGGGCCACGTGGTGAGTTGAAGTGGAAAAGACAAGGTAGGGGGGACAGTGGATCGTGGACGTACACGTGGCCACATCCCGTAGGGGGGAAGATTAGGCGTTGGATCAGAAATGAAACGGTAAGTCATTATGGTTGTTGAAGAGACGGTTTTGGCGGATGATTTTGAAAAGTTTTCAAACTAGCGAAAATTAATTGGGACCCTTGGAATACGGGCAAACCGTGGGTTTTTGGTATTATTCGATTCACCTACCTGTGTACGAAAAATCAAAATATTCCAAGTGTGAATTCCTTTGTTGTTCACAATACACCTTTGCAACACTTTTTCAATTTCCTTGTTCCTGTCGTCGAAGCGATTCGCAGACATACCACAGAAATGGCCGGAGAAGGGAGTGCGATTGTCAGGGTGGACCTGCTTGGCGATGACGATGCTGTGGAGCTAGCGGCGCAGTATAGGACAGAGAGGGTGGGGGAGCCGGTGGTACGATCCCACGGTTCCACCATGATAGCGACGCCAAAACCAATCAGCCAGGTGGAACCAGATCAT